AAGGTTACTTCAATGTAACCTGAGAACATTGTGATGAACACCTTAATTTTTTTAAATTATATTTACAATCTGTAGGTACAACGAAAACAATACAGTGGCTTGTTGCGCCGAACAGGCGGGAGTTACCCTATTTGTCTTATTATTGCTTACTTGTTGCAAACTTCGTATGACTTTTACGCATTTTCTTGCCTAAAATCGTTAGTATTGTTCATAGAATCGAAAACATTACGATTATTCTTCAAGTTTTCCTCAAAATCACAAATCTCACGCGTATGATTGCAACTTGATGCAAGATGACTTAAACTGAATATGGCAGTGGTGTACGGTTAACAACATGAATGTAAATGTTAAGAAATGCTTCAATATATACTTTACTAAGTCAAATAATCATTTATTCCGTAGGTAAAATTTTTACACTTGAAAACGTCATTTTTTAAGCTCATTTCATTACGCTGACCTTCCTGAGAAGAACGAGAAAGGAACTCTAGGGATTGCCTTTTCAAATAAAGTTAAATGCTATAGAAAAAAATATTGAATAATAATAATAATAACGTTGTACTCTATTCTTTTCAATCCTCACTATCCAGAATACTTAAAATGTAAATTTCAATAACTCGGGGACTCTCACAACCTCCGTCTTCAATCCATGAATTCACTCTCACTGTACCTCTCTTTCATTCTGGCTTCATGTATGACTCCTTCACTCTCCAATCTATACGTCTCTGGAATGCTCTCCCAGACTCCATCAGAAGGTCACCCAGTATATTCTAGCATTTTCCCAGCATTTTTTAAATTGTTTGTCACAATGATAACCATCATCATATTCTGTATATATATACATATTATGTTTTTTTTTTAACGCACACACTCAACATAGCCCCGCACTAGGGAAACCCTGGGTCGCGGGTGCCATGGACACACACATAGACAACCACAAATTACACCCAACCTCACGAGAGAAATAATTGTAGGCCATATAACTATTTCTCCCGGCCCGGGAATCGAACCTGGGACCTCTGTTTGTGTGGAATCTAGACTCCAGTTGTCTTTCCATGCATCGTTATCTAACACGTAGTCTACAATTTTGTAATATGACTTTTCAATTAAAATGCTCTTAATATAAGTTTTAAACTTAGGAAATGGTAATCTTAATATTAGGGGTTAAAGTATGAAATTGCCGTTTTATTGCAATAGGTTCTTTGAATTTTCATAGAATCTTCATGGTTTGAGGTTTTCGAATGAAACTTTTTTCAAATGGTTTCTGTGATTTTTTTTTTTAAATTTGAAACATTTGAATATCGACTTTCAATTGTTTTTGTTATTCAATTTAGACAAGAAAGATGGATACTGCGAAAATTCGAGTGATTTTTGAATACGAGTTCCGACGCGGAACTAACGCGGCAGAAACAGCCCGCAATATCAATGCTGCGTTTGGAGAGGGGTCTACTAATGAACGCACCGTGCGATTTTGGTTTAAACGCTTTCGTGATGGAAATTTCGACTTAAAGAACGAGCCACGAGGAAGACCGCCCACACAGGTGAATAACGATGAATTAAGAGAGATAGTGGAAGCCGATCCTAGTCAAACTACCCAGGAATTAGCGGCATGGTTTAACGTTACCTTACCCACAATATTGACTCACTTGCGTCAAATCAATAAAATAAAAAAATACGAAAAATGGGTGCCTCATGATTTGACTGATCTGCAGAAAGAAACGCGTGTTGAAACTTGTGTTGCCTTGTTGAACCGGTACAGAAATGAAGGAATATTGGATCGAATTGTAACATGTGATGAAAAGTGGATTCTTTATGATAACCGGAAAAGAAAAATGCAATGGCTGACCCCAGGTCAAATGCCACAACAGTGTCCTAAAGCAAAACTTACCAATAAAAAGGTAATGGTAACTGTTTGGTGGTCTCAGCATGGTGTTATTCACTATAGTTTTCTCCGATCTGGTCAAGCAATAACGGCAGATGTCTATTGTGCCGAACTCCGAACCATGTTGACAAAACTAGCAGTAAAACAGCCCCGACTCATGAATCGATCTTCACCATTATTGCTCCACGACAACGCGAGACCTCACACAGCACGAGAAACCATTTTGACCCTTCAGGAACTGCAGTTAGAAACCATTCGTCATCCTCCGTATTCACCAGACCTTGCTCCAACGGACTACCATTTTTTTCGTGATTTGGACAATTATCTACGTGACAAGAAGTTTTCTTCCCAGGAGGCAGTACAAAATGCTTTCACACAGTTTGTGCAGTCTAGATCGTCGGAGTTCTATCGCAAAGGCATTAATAACCTTCCCATTAGATGGCAGCAATGTATAGATAATAATGGCAACTATTTTGATTAAATAAATTTGTTAAAAATTTAAAAAATAAACAATTTAGATTTTCAGTACAAATCGGCAATTTCATACTTTAACCCCTATTATATGCTCCGGAATCTTATTGTAAAAACGTACACACATCAAAAAAAGTTTGCGATCAGTTTGAAAACTTAATATATTTTTAATATGTGGAAATATTATTAAGAAATATGTAATAAATAGTTTTTTTGTTAAAAGTACAACATTAAATAAATAATTAAAGTTAAAAACAAATAATAGTATCACTAAAGAGGTTTTTGAAATATTTTTAGAAATTAAAAAATATTTCAAGTTTTAAAAGTGATCGCAAACTTTTTTTGATGTGTGTATACAGTTCCCTATAAAAGAATCGTTTACCTTTTTTAAACGAAATCGTGGTACCATGAGTTTGAACTGTTCTAAGGTTAATATTAAAAGCTGTCTCTGTGGCCGAACGGTTACCATTACGAACGACTACCACACAAATCCCAGGTTCGATTCCCGGGCCGGGAGAAATATTTGTATGGTCCACATTATTTCTCTCGTAAGTTTGGGTGTAATTTGTGGTTGTCTATGTGTGTGTTCATGGCACCCGCGACACAGGGTTTTCCTAGTGCGGGGCTATGTTGAGTGTGTGCGTTATTATAAAAAAAATATAGATATCTTCTTTTTTAACGAAATTATGTATATATTTTTTTACTAGAAAAAACATCGAGTACAATATACATATAAGTTTAATCGCACTACACTAGAAACCGTAGATGAAATACGTGATATATGCTTTCTACTGGATAACTAGCTATCTTTCCATTCTCACATTAACGCTATTGTTAAAAAAAATCTCAAATGTTAGGCTTTTTATGACGACGTATGAAGTTTTTCCACCGTACAACAAAAATTATTTTTTAGTACGTAGCCACATAGGATTTCTACAACTTACTACTTTACTCGGCACTTACTACTTACTACGTTACTTTAGTCGAGTAAAGTAATAAGTAGATTAAGATGCCCTTATAATCAGAGATTATCCTTTTTTAGGCTTGAATTTCTTTAAGAGCGTCGTATTAAGCTCATGCTTAAGGCGACGCTCTTAAAGAGATTCAATCTGAGATCATTTTCAGATTATAATATCTTGAAGAATAAGATAGACTGCAGAATATTATATACTACATTGCATCTACTACGCAATCTGCCTTTCAAAGAAATATACCTTATTGTTGAGAAGCTAAATTACACTTTGTATTGTCAGAGGCGAGACAAGTAGGCGGGGTCGTGAAGCACGACGCGTCACGCGGCTTTACTCTAATGTTTTTGTTGTTTGAAGAAATGTATACATTATTTAGTGGAGAATATGTTCTATAGTATATTGCATTTTTAAAGTGCGCCCACCCCAGCTCTCTGCAACAGCTTGTTTAATGAAATGTTGCCTTATTTTGTAGAGGTTAAAGTTAAAGTTGCATTGCCTATTTTAACGTAACGCCGCGCCGCGTCGCGTTACGTCTCGGCGATATGAATCAAACCTATGGCAAATTAGTGTGTCAGTTCCCTATAAACATCCCCGAAAACATATAAAACTTTCCATGTTCCCTATTGTCGTACTAATATCCGATGTAATTCGCCTATTATAAGAATGTATAAAATTTACAACAGAAGAAATGTTAGCATTCCTGATTTAGATATATTTAGTGATTATATCGACTACTTTAAAATTAAATTATATAGCTAAAAACAATCTAAGTTCCTTTACAACTTCCTAGTGTATTCTATTCCTAGTAATTTAAATTATCTATGTATGTCAATTTGTCGACATTTTTAATGTAGTTTGTTTGTTATTTTGAGATTGCCGTCAACACTTGTAATTGTTGTGTTTACAATGTAGAACACCCAAGTCCAATTTATGATAAAATTGTGTTGTAAACATAATGCTAGTGTTGCTAATAAATAAATAGATAAGTACCTAACATCGTCGCTTAGCATCAGAGATTGTAGCTGAACGTTCGTCTATGTAACATTAAAAACATCTTCAAATCGCGGTATGAAAAATATCACCTGTATGTACCTACCTATACACATGTACTTAAACGAAATGAATAATTCGTTTGTGTAATAAATATCTTGTTTTTTTATTACGGGCTCTAAGGGTGGGATTCATAAAACGAACTTTGACTTGGACTAAGCAAAAATGGCGAGCTAGAGCAAGTTGTGAATACGAAAAACTTATGTTTTCGTATTCACAACATGAACTTAACGTAAGTTTAAGCAGGGGAAAAAATTAAACTTTGATTTTACTTCTTAATATCTTAAGCTTAGGGTTTAGACCAATGCGAATTGGGGACTTTACACGTTTATCACGATGTCTTTAATGATGTATATGAAGCTCCCAATCCGCATTAGGCCGGCGTGGGAATTAGGACCCAAGCCGTCATTGTGAGAGGAGGCTTATGCACAGCAGTAGACTATATAATATAAAAATAACAATAATGCTTTATTTTCTTCACAAAATACAAACGACAAATAATAAGTATAAACATCTTAGTAACTTTAGAACAATATTTTGTAGGAGCTGGTGCTTGCTATAGGTTGTTAAATCTACGTGCTACAAGTCGCCAGGATGCGTGCTACAGTCAATTTTATTTTTCTTTCCAGAACATAGAAGTACAAAGTTTAAGGCTCCTCGGCGAGAGCTGTCACTCCAACGAGCACTGCAGTGTTTCACACTCGCAGTGCAACCGCGGTGTTTGCGATTGCCAGCCGTACTACGCCCGCGTTGATGTATCCACTTGTTTGGAATGTAAGTCATTTCCGTTCTTTAATGAATATAAACTAACAAATTATTTCCTTGGCGGCTTCAAGAGAGTTCAGTACGGTCGACTCGAAATGATGTCAATTTCTGTTCTAGTCTGTGACATTTTTTACCTGAAATACAGGATTCTCCTAGTTCAGGTATATGTGTTATATTTTACATTTATTAGCATAATTAGTTTTTAGATTATTCATTTGTACAATAAATTATTCTATAAACAATTCTATTATTATTATTATTATTATTATTACTTTAAAAATGTGCCCAATTAAACTCCGTAAAATTTACTTTTATTACAACATTTGTAAATACTAGTACCTTTAGACTTCTAAATATCTAATTTATTTTGTGATATTTTAAGATATCTTATTATGTAATAGTTAGTTTACACCTATAACTTCATCTTTATTGTTTTTGTTACATTTACAACTCTAATAATAATAAATAAATATTAGACAATATCACATACGTTGGAATCAGTCCAAAGTAAGTAGCTAAAGCAATTGCGTTATGGAAATTGGAAACAACGACGGTACCACAAATACCCAGACCCGAGACAATATAGAAAAGTTAGTTTTCTACTTTGACCCGGCCGAGAACCGAACCCGGGACCTCAGAGATGGTGACACCATGAAAACCGGTGTGCAAGCCACTCGACCACAGAGCCCGTCTCTGTACAACTACTTTTAATAACTCATATTTAGGCTATAAGTTTGGCTAAAGCCTTAATAAATTACAAAAATATGTATTAGAATGATATAATGTAAACTTCGTGAACCAGTGATGGGGTATCATCAGTGAAATCGAGAATCGATATTGAAATATATAGACTGACCATTGATATTTAAATCAGTATTATGATAAATATCATGGCTTTAACTAAAATCAACTCATATCATTCATTAAAGTATCTGCCCCACTATTTCTTAATTTACAGTTCAGTTTCCCTAGACACAACCAAGCATATCTAATTAATTGTGTATAATTAATTGGACAAAAATTCATTCAAAATACACAATTTAACCGAAAATAGCTCTAAACACGTAACATTTCAAAAATTAGTACCGTCAAACCATTTCTCAACTATATGGGTTAGTTACTCTATATTTTCGATGTATCCCATCACAAGGTATTTCCGTCTGACGTAACCTTGTCGTGTTAAGCTGTGAAAACAAACATTAATAGTATTTCTTAGTGATTTAACTTCAACAGTGTCTTTAATCCCAGTATTTCCATGTATTCAGTACCACGTGGAACAATTGAAACCTTAAAATATCATATTTATTCTCATTAGTTCCATGTTGATGTATCAAAGACATGAAAGGATTTCAATTACCGTATGTAACGTAACATAAATATGTAAAATAATAGGTGATTTACAAATTTTGAAAAAATAGTAATTCGTAGAACACTGCAGCAAAATTTACGTCATCTTAATTCTGTCATTATAATCAAGCTAAACTTTACTGACAACTTACTGTACGCATTATTTTTCTTACAATATCTTATAAATTTAACAAGTAGGTTTTAGGGTGCTTTGTGATAATCTTTATCTATGATACGCATTTTTAAAAACTTGTAGCGCCGTGATAGCCGTTTTGCATAGCTATAATAATTTATTTATTGACTTATCTAAACTAATATTATAAATGCGAAAGTAACTCTGTCTGTTACGTTTTCACGAATAAGCCACTGTACTAAAGTTGATAAATTTTGGAATAGATATAGATTGGACTTAGAAGAAGGACATAGGCTACTTTTGTCACAAAAATAAATCTTAAAGTGAGTGAAATAGGGGATGAAATATTATATGGAGAACTAATCATTTCTCAAGTAAGTAGTACAGTAAGCTACTCGAAATACTTATTCTGTGCAGACGAAGTCGCGGACACCAGCAGTCTGCTAGTATTCTATAATTTAAATCCGTTCTTAACTTTTTTTAAATCTTTATTTAATTTTAGGACTTTTGTTCCAGAAAACATGCCAGTCCTATCATAACCTTTTTCTAATTGTTATACAATTTAAAATAAAAATGGTTTTATAATTATTATTACATTAAAAGTATTAAGTTAAGTAACGCTGATTTACCCTGTCACAGAACATTTTCGTCTATTTTGACAAGGGTTCAGACAGAATCCCTTGAAAGAAGTTAATGTTGGAGCGTCGAGCGGTTCAGTTTTAATATATAAACGTCAATAGCTGGCGCTGGTCTTCGTTTCTGGAACATTCCACTAACAAATGTTGGACGTCTCCAATTTTATGACAAATTTCACAATTTTGTGAATCCACTTTTTTCATGAGAGTGTATAACTTAATTCCAAAAATCGTTCATTGAAAATGTACGACACAGGTTAAAAGGTTCAAAAGTTACAGGCAAAAAGAGCTCACGGTAGCATTTATGATTATTTATATTAATAGAAAATGGAAACATTGTTTCTTTTTTTAAATGGTTTCTTTTTTTAAATGGCTACAGGCAAGCATAAACCATATTCTCAAATTAGAGTCGTTTTCTATTACTAAATTATAGAAATTGCTACCATTCACGGACAAAATAGTACTTACAAATGGATAGTATATTGAACAATACCAATAACTGAAATAATGTACTCACGTACACATTTATCTTTATTCGCGGTTTTCTCCGATTCTTTTCTTTACAGAGACGCATTTATCTTACCCACCTAATGATCCTTATGTGGTCTGCGGTTCGGTTTAAATTACTTCCAATTAAATTATCAATATTGCCATTTCAAATAATCTTTTGTTGCTATAATCAAATTTGGCTTTGAAATAACATGCAAGTGAGCTGCGACCTATTAAAAGAACAGCTAGATCTATCATCATATGTTTCATTTACATATTGCCGATCCATTGTATAAAGAACATTGAATAATAAAGAGCATTGAATACTATCTCTGATGAACTGTAATTATATACATTTCTATTATTACATATTGACCTTAACGGGATTCATTCCTAGTAAAGATTTCGAGAAATGAATCAAATATATACATGTTCTTTTTTTATAATATCAAGTGACGGGACGAACAAGCCGTGCGCCTGATGGTAAACTACACGCCTGTCCATAATAACTATTATGGACAGGCGTGTAGTTTGGTGATATTCCTAGACAATATATTATCTATATTAGTAACTTCATGATTTTTTTTTATAACATCAAATGACGGCACGAACAAGTCGTACACCTGATGGTATGCTACACGCCTGTCCATAACAGTTACAGTGCCACTCAGAGCTTTAAATCTCGAAGATCTGAGGGGCACTGCCACTACGCCCATCACCCTGAAACATAAGTTGACAAGACCCATGGGCCTGTAAAATTACCCCTTACCATTCAAAACCGGAATACAGTAATGCTGACTTTACTTGCTTGGCGGCAGAACTAGATAAGGTGGCAGTACTACCCTGGACGAACTCTTTCACAATGAGCTCTACTGCTACATACATTTGATTCAAGAGCAAATAAAACTGGTCGATTTTTACACCCAAAACTTAAATTGTATTTTGTTGCATTAATACATGCTTTACAAAATAATGTACAAATATCAATATGGTAGACTAGATGGCCTTAGCTACAATTCATACTCGTACATACTTTGAACTTCAAACAAATAGTGCAAACTTTAACAACATATTTAAAGACCAAACTTTAATTAAAGTGGATTAAAATACAAATATATGAACACAGAGCCAAACTGAATCGAATGAGGTTGTCGCCATCGTCGTTTTTGGCGTCCCATAAATCCACGCTTGGCTCACTTTCTATATCCAAATTCACAAAAGCACCAACCAAATTAAGCAAGTGGATCACTTGGATCATGAGATTACAACGGTCCAACCAAGTCGGTTGAGATATGAGACTCGAATTCAGTGACATCGATAATGGCAGCAAATTGTTTACATTAATGAATTATTTATTTGCCTCGTAATGTTGATAGTTGTCGCCAAATTTGAATTTTTGGCTATATGTAAATGGTAGTGATCGATGCAAATCATTTTAGGTAATTTATACTTACATTATATAATGGCTGGTGCCCGCGACTTCGTCTGTGTAGAATAAATACTTTCGAAAAGCCGAGTGTATTACACTAATTTTCATAGTTGTATTGGTTCTGCAGAGAAACTGTCATTATCTATTTCAGTCCTAAGGTTTATTTTTGTGACAAAAAGTAGCCTTTGCCCTTCTCATATATCCCGTCTATCTCCATACCTTTATTTGAATTACACGATTATTATTGAAGAGAGACAGGATAATTCCGCCTTTTTAAAATTTATTTTCCAAAACAAAATTATTTACACTGGTTCTTAAATCTAACCTACCTACTGCAGTCCCTTTAAGGGTTTATACGGAGGTGGCTACAGTCATCGCACAGCATAATGCGCTTTCTTTTGGAAAAACAAAAATAAATATGTGCTAAATTAAAAGAAATAACATTAAACAAGAGAAATTGTAACTATTACTACTAATAATAATATTTAAAAATTTTATTTTTATTCCATTCCTTTTTTGATTCCACCCCTATATTGTGGATATACCAAAGATTCGCACGAAGCGTTACGCTTTACACATTGCTTTGCTGCGTTACACATTTATATGGCGAACAGCTGTGGAGTGGAATTGCCTGCCTGCAGACTTATTCCCTGAATGCTATAATTATGTGGTCTGTGCTTGGGCATTTTCAAGACGAGAGTGAATAGGCATTATTTACTTAAATAGATATTAAATTCATTAAATTTGTTTTAGCGGTTTAACCGTGAAAACGTAACTGATAGAGTTATTTTTGCATTTATAATATTACTTTGGATTATTCTCGCTGCACACTTTAAACACTTTGTTTTAACAGATGGATTGTTATAGAAATAATCGATTAACATAAATAATAAATGCGATGTATAATAACCTTCTTAAGGTTTATTCATGCGTGTTATAAATGAAAGTTTGAAATTAAAACGGTATTGTTTGAAAT